AGGTACCAAGTTGGCATCTTGAGCGCTTCCGAGCATCAACAAGGTGAAAGGTTTATTAACAAACCTGAAGCCTGGATCCATCCAGCCGGTATGACGGCTGAGGATCGAAAAGAACTTTCTCAGTTGTATAAGCAATTTAAGGCCGCTCATGTTTTTGCGCAAGCTGTTTCCAGCCATTCGGGAGATGCCGCAGCTCCGATTGCAGGCCTGAAAATCCCGCGCTGCCAGCTCTCCAATATGCCGGACACGCTGGTTCACATGACCGAGTACCGCCACATCCGGTCGATTCAGCAGTATGGTCTCCTTCCTGGAGGCGGCAATACTGCCGGCAACAAGCAACGAAACATGAATCACTTTTTGCCGATCGACGGACTTTTGGTCTCTTATGAACACATTCGACCAACCGCAAATGTGGCACTCGTCCTGTCCAAGGCAACGCTGGAACAGCATCCAGAGCTTATGGAAAACTTTAGCCTGAGTAAGAATGGCTATTTTCTGACCAAGGACGTTATTCCGGCCGGTCTTTTCAGTCTTGCATGGGATATCCGAAACAATTGCTGTTTGTCAAACAAACTGTGGGATATCCCAGACTCCACACCAGCCATGTCAGTCCCCGACGAGCCGTATTTGCGTTTCTATTCACAGCTCTATTGCGAGGTACTGAGGCTGGTAGGCAAAGGACACAACAAGTTCAAGATTGAAACAAGGAGGCTCGCATTTAAGAATATTAAGATTCGCGAGGTTGAGGCATGGCGCAATGAGGCCGATCGCCACCAGCTCCACGGCATGTCCAAGCTTCATACTGAAACATGGTTGAATTTTCTCTCCCTCGACGACGAATGGAAGGATGCTGAAACCAACAGGCGTCGTCTCAAGAAACGCTCATTGTCGGAAACGACCGAGGAAGAGGGAGATGACCTGATTGATGTCGATGATGACGACGACGACATGGAGGTCGACGCCGATATTCCGGCGGAAGACGATGATGATGTTCAGGTCGTTAGTACGTTAGATGAGACCATGTTGGATGACCTCGCAGAAGCTCGCCAGAAAGGAACCTGGGTCAAGAAAGGCACTGTGAAAAAGGACGAGTCCGATATGCCGGACGATCCTTCAGCAGCTGCCTCGTCGTCCTCAGCAGTCAAGAAAGAAGAAGTACAGAGCACAAGGGTTTGGTCCTCCCGAGCGCGGTCACGAACACCATCTCGCACTGTCCTCAAGAAGGCTGACCATGCACCGGGAATGGCCCGCACTCCATCCGAAGGTCGCAGAGTTTCAGCCGAAGAAGCGTGCGACCTCCCGAGCGCGGGAAGTCATCAGCGACGCAAAGAAGGCACAGGAATCTCCAACCAAGTACTTTCATCGCCCAGAAAAGATGACTTGCCTTACTTGCGCTAGTGCCGATGTACTTATTCTGCAGGGCATGTAGTCATGGAACATGCCTCGACTGCTATCACGAGGTCGCCAATCACATAGCATTTATCTCTGTTCGACAGTCCCAGACGCCGATATTCCGGCACCGCTGGGTGAGCACGAGCGCGCAGAGATCACCGCAGAAATCGATTTCACGATTCCCTTCGCAGCTGAATCCGAGGGTTGGCACCCAGATGACCGATATGCCGGTCGACTGCACCGTTTGCAAGAAATCAAGGACCTTGTTCTCGGTGGCGGCTCGACAGGGTACGCAGCGACGGATCGCATTGTCCTCGAAGGAGTTAGCAAATACCATTACACGAACCATCCTACCTACAGGAGCCGCAACATTCCCCCGATCGCTCAACACTGGGACGAACAATCAGATGTGGCACCGTATCCCAGCATTCGGCCAAGCTGCTTTTACGACTCCAACTGCCGATATTCCGGCGAGGAGATGCGACAGATTGTCGAGTTAAGCCGTTCGTACATGCAGGGATATCGCGCAAATCAAGGAAACTTTGATCTCGATGAGGCAAGACGACTCCGATCAACTGAACACGTCATCGTCTTGCTGCTCAACTTTGGCGATATCAACCGTACGCCTCATTTTAACGGCAAGCAGCCTCTGCCCAGCGAGCTCGCAGATTCGGATCAGTATGCCGTTTTGCCGCACTATCTTGTCAGGAACACGGCACATATTTCGATCCTTCTGGAGGCCAACGGAATTGAACGACACAGGGAGCTTTTCAATCAATATCAGTGTTTGCGTGTCGTTGCCTTGGCGGATGGTGAGTCACCTGCGATTGCAGCAGTTTGTTCCACCGACATAATTGGTTCTTCGAGATTGGAACTCATCCGCCGTATCGAGCTCGAAGGCGACCGCCTAGCCTGGGTAGCCCATGCCGCGACATTCCGCGTGATCTGGGGAAAGGTCGATGAATCAACAGATGGAGGCATCACCGATGACCGTGGAGTAAGAAAGAACCTCCGAGTTGCCCTTGAAGAAGGTGCTGATCCAGCAGAAAACATGGAGGTGATCGTCTGCCCTGACAGTTTAGCTGTAGCACAAGTATCCACCACTTATGCCGAAGCCGAACCAGTGGATGCAGAGGCATTGTTCCACGAGTGTCCGACGTTCTGGACCGGGAGTTTGGCCGACTGCAAGCGCATGCACATGCCTGAACTTCGAGTTTGCGCCTTTCATGTCAATGCCCATGCTTTCCAGTCAGGTATTACGGCCGGTAAGAGCGCCATTACGAAGATTTTGATCACGGCCGTGGCAGACCAGGTGGACATCATCGTGTGTGACGCCAATCAGTTCACGAACCGCAACTTCCGGGCCAATCGACATGCAGATCCGGCGACCGGAGCTGTCCTCACCATCCTTGACCAGATCCTTGTATCCGCGAACAAGAAGCGTGAGTCGAGCAAGCGCATAACTTATATAACTGGGAGGTCTCCACTCTCGCCAGCGAGCAGCTCGCTTTGGAAGGTCTGGATGCCGATTGCGACTGCATGTTGCAGATCGCCTTAAACTACGGCAAGGACATGCACACGTTGCGGTCGAGAACATCCGATACTCCGGATGATCGTGGACGTGTTGGATACGAGCAACCTCCTCGTCAAAAAGAGACTACCATAAAGGTCAACAAACTCCTTAAGCATTTGAATGATCTTGATCTGTGTCTGAAGAGCAGTGATTTGGGTTACCACCATCCATTCCAGTGCAATTTTTCACTTGCCAGTCGACACAAGATCAGAGTTCGTAGCCAGACCTCCGCCGTGAACCGCGGCGAGAAGAATGCTGAAAGACTTGAACGTTTGAAGGAACGGTCTCGGCAAAACCTACAAGCTCGTCAAGCAGGCTGGGACAGTTCTTCCTGGCAGCCATCGGACCACTGGTCCTCGGGCGCATCAAGTTCATGGTGGTATGCCAGTTCCTCATCATCATCTTGGAACCCTGGGTACCGCGGGTACCGGAACTGGTAGATAGTCTCTGAGAAGCCGATATGCCGGCTAGACAACAGCTAAGTGCCTGAGAACTAAATGCATATTTTGATAGACCCGGATACATCAAAATTAAAGGCCTTATAGATTTGATTTCGACTTAACGATTTGACTTGATTCAAAAAAATTCCGATATTCCGGAACGTTCGATGCAGCAAGTATGCCTTTCGTAGATTTGTAAAGATTATCTGACGCAACCTAGATGAGCCAGAATGGCATCTACGGTCTAGTTCTGCGAAGTCAGAACTTTTGTAATTCATTTGCATCTTTTTGCCATCCAAGCTTTGTACTTTAGAAATCGTAAGCTTCGACACGAAGAAAATTTGTGTCTGTTTTGTGTTTGGTAGGGTCCTAGGTCCCCTAGGCGTGTCTACGCTATACGTGTGTAGCACCTGCTATCTTGTATAGACTAGTTTGTAGCTCTTCAGTCCGCTTTCGACCTAATTCATTTGGCTCAAGCCCAATACCTGCATCCGCAGCCATAGAAAAGGTGTGCATCGCTGCCGCTTGCACACCGATCGCATTCGTGTGACTTCACTTGGTGTTTCGATCAGGTCCAGTTAAGCAACTGCCACTTCTGGGGGAACTTACCCCTCACCCCCCCACCCTGCCCTCCACCCTATTCCAGCCATATGCTGTAAATACCAAGAGTTACCAACATATTCTTACTTGACTGAATGAATGTACAAACCCTTGCAACCACATGGAACCTGGAAGGTTAGTATCTTGGCCATGGTTCCCCCCCACCCACCCCCCACTCGTTCCCACCCCCCACCCCACACTCCTTCTGCCCTCCAATCCATTTCAGCCATTTCTAAACCCTTTGCAACCATCGTCTGGCTTGGCTTCTGGTTTCTGAATCGGCTGTTTGGTTTCTGAATCGGTTGTTTTGGTTTCTGAATCAGAGTTGCTGAATCACCTGGTTTGGTTTCTGAATTGGCTGACTTGGTTTCTGAATCGGCTGTTTTGGTTTCTGAATCGGGACTCGCTTGGTTTCTGAATCGGCACATTTGGTTTCTGAATCGGCTTACTTACTGCAGTTCCTGAAGCGGACCATTTGGTTTCTGAATCGGAATGGGGATCGGAATGCCTTGGTTTCTGAATCGCAGTTGCTGAATCGTCCTTGTTAGTTTCTGAATCGTAGTTGCTGAATCGGCTGTTTTGGTTTCTGAATCGTAGTTTCCTGATCGGTTGGTTTCTGAATCGGCAAATGTCCAATGAAAAGTCAGGAGCTTTTGACCCTCAGTGTGATGGCTTCTGAGTCAGCTGCAGGCAGGGGACCAAACAGCTATGAAAGTTTGCGCTGCCACAGATCCGGCATTGCCTGTCCACCACTTCACCTCCAGAAGGTTTGTACGCCATGGAGAGGGCAGCTATGGAGAGGGCACTTGGTAATCGGATTCAAACGTGATGCTCGGTCGGCTAAAGCACTGACTGTTTGGTGTTTCAGGATCACCCAGCTGAAACAAAAGTGGCAGTAGTGAAACGAGCACAGTTTGCAGCTGTGTATGGATACTCTTTGTCCCACATTGCTAGGAGAGAGCAGTTTGCTGGCTGGTCGTGATCCAAAGGGGCACTCCGCAACTGAGCAACCGATGATGAAAGTGTCCAAAAGGTTCGAGAACCACCTTGTATCAAGACAACGAAAGCCAAATCACAGTGGCGCCTCTTAGCAACATGTATGGGGAATATGGGGGAATAATCCTAGCCTTCTATGTCATTGTCTCATCAAGGAATGGAGTTGTTCATTCAATTCAATCACGCGTATTCAACGTATTCGTCAAGCACACTGTTCTGGGGCATACACAGAAAGTACGCGCATCCATCAACATACACCTGTAGCTTCTGCAATCACGCCACGTCATTCTCATCTTTTCTGCAAAAGTATCAGAATGCATAAAATATCAGAATGTAATGCAATGCACTAGAATGCCTATTGGAAAACAATGCTCCCCAAACTCAACGGCGCTGAGGGTCTGTCACGCATGATCAGCTCCACAACAAACATTGCCAAGAAGGCAAGCCTGGTGCTGCGTTGGAGGTGCTGCTTCTCACGTAAACAAATCCGTTCAATATGTCTGCCGAAGTGCCTACTTACTTGTCTTCTGTAGAGTTTGAAACTTGTCCAGCAGCAAAGCTATTGTGTCCCAGCGGTTCAAACCAATAAGGGGAACTAAAACAGTTGCCATCCTTCAGTAACTTACAGTGCAAAGGTCCCGGCTGAATCCAGAAAATTGCATCCCTCCATTCGTCAATCTGTTGCAGGCTTAGTTCAATGTCAACGCCTTGGTTCAAACGAGGAATACGATGAAATGAGGATCACCGGACTCGTTCCTTTCCGATAGCCCAGACTTTGGATAAGATTCCTGCCCAGCAAGATGGAACTGAGGACTATCAAAATGCCAAAGAACAGGTCAGCTACCTCAGGGCACGATAACTTTAACTGAACCGAAACCCTCTTTGAACATAATTATACAATGCTTAGCACTGTTTCTGCTTGGCAATCCATGGCAGGTCAATTGACATCTCTTCTGTGGGCACATGATCATTGCTAGGGCAAGAATCAGATTAACGTAGTATAGGTTGACAAACCTGATTTTGTCAAGAAGGAATACAAACCCAAGAAACAAGTTAATCGCAAATAACAAAAGTTTTTTGTCTCAGAGTGGAAGAGAAAAGAGCCTCCGGTAGAAGAAGAATGCCCAATGCAGAATCATGCAACCACATCGTGTTTTCATGTTTGTAGAAAGCCGCCTGAACCGAAGGGGCTGAGAGGCGTGATACCGTTGGTGCGCGTTTATTGCTATATGGCTTTAGTCAGGGGTGGGAGTGTGAGAACATGGAAAAACACATGGTTTTCACATATCATTGTCATATCATTTGCATCGCTAGCTCATGAAAGGGAAGCAAACGACTCCTGTCAACAGTCGATGTCTTAATAAATTTATTACAGTATATATTTCAGGATTGCAACATATGCATCAGCCGGCTGCAACTGTATAGTTTGTCACGGAAGCATATGCGTCAGCTGGTTGCAAGTGTGTAGTTAGTTTATTGTACAACATGCCTGCAAATTAGTACATATAAAAATGTTGGACCCCAAGAAAAATTACACCGGCATAGGCCCAGATAGCTAAGCAGAATCCCACGACCTGTTGACATGCGACTGGCTGGAACAAGAATGTACGCAGCCTGTGCAGCCAGAATACGGCACCTCCACAGCGCGCACAATCAGCTGACACCAGCACCAGCACCGACACGCTTTCGAAAGCGCGCGCAGCCAGCTCATTCTTATTTGCAGCAAGAGCCCCAGAGCTAGCCCTATTTGGGGAATAACAACGTATGGCCCAAGTGAGGCCGTATGATCTTGCGCGTATAAGTTTATGCGAACAGAAGTACGCGCACAAACGGCAAAGCCCGTAGGCTTCACTCGCCCAAGGCCAAGCAGTATCCAGCACGACTTTTGTGTGTGTAGCATGCTGAAACACGCTGAAACCATGGTCGGTTGAGAGCTTGACGTTGCGCATGCAGCATTATACGTACAAAAGTATGCGCGCAAATTCTATATCCTTGACGTGTAAATACCCCACAGCGCTAATAGACAAAGAACGCTCCAGCGATAACACCGCATGATGTTGCGTGCATAAGTTCATGCGGCCCATGACTGCTGGCACTTCATTGTCAGAAGCCGCGCTTGGTCGCCCTTCACTGCTGCAAGCGGCCTTCACTGTCAGAAGCGGCGGTTGTTATCACTTCACTGTCAGAAGCGGGCACCAGCACCGAGCACCGGCACCACCACCGGGACCCTGTCTCCACCACGCGGCGCACAGCCAGGACGCAGCACTGGCACCCAGTCTCCACCACACGCACTGCCAGCTCACAGCACCGGCACCGGCGCCCGCTGTCTCTACCACGCGCACTGCCAGCGCCCAGCACCGGCGCCGTGTCTCCACCACGCGCCCACAGCCCGCACCAGCACCCGGCACCGGCACCCAGCACCGGCACCCTGTTTCCACCACGCGCACAGCCAGCTCAAAGCACCCAGCACCAGCAACACAGCCAGCACCAGCACCCGGCACCGGCACCCAGCACCGGCACCCTGCGCGCAGCCAGCTCATTTTTGTTTGAAAAAATAAGAAACACCAGGCGAACGCGAACAGCCAGCACCCAGCACCGGAGCCCGGCACCGGCACCCGGCACCCTGTCTCCACCACGCGTGGAGCCAGCACCCAGCACCAGGACCGGCACCCTGTCTCCACCAAGTGCACAGCCAGCTCACAGCACCAGCACCGGCACCCGGCACCCAGCACCGGCACCCTGTCTCCACCACGCGCACACCCACAACCGCGGGCACAGCCAGCTCACAGCACCAGCACCACCCAGCACCAGCACCGGCACCCGGCACCAGCACCAGCAACCTGTCTCCACCACATGCACAGCCAGCTCACAGCACCAGCACCAGCACCGGCACCCGGCACCCAGCACCAGCAACCTGCCTCCACCACGTGCACAGCCAGCTCACAGCACCAGCACCGGCACCCGACACCCAGCACCAGCACCGGCACCAGCAACCTGTCTCCACCACGTGGACGGCCAGCAGCACCAGCACCAGCACCGGCACCCAGCACCAGCAACCTGTCTCGAAAGCGCGCACGGGCAACACATTGTTATTTGAAGTAAGAACCCCATAGCTTCCGCTATCTGGGGAATTACAGCTTCAAGGGGTCCCAAAATATAACACATCCAACACTGCTTGCACACAAGTTCTACAAGAGTCCAAAGCTAGAGTGAATATATAGAAACGTAACTCAAGAATTTGTAAGAGGGTCCACGTGTCGATCATGCACATTGTATAGTTTTTGTATATATTCACTCTACTTTTCCATCCCCGTGAAATTGTACATGTTTCAGGGCGTCGAAATTATATTCACTTGCAAGCAAAACAAAGCTAGACCATTTTTAAAGGGTCCAAAACTAATGATGATAGATACTTCTTACATTTTATTCATCCGCTTCATGCTGCGTTCATCTCTCAGTCTGGTCTCGATCATGCACATTGTATAGTTTTTGTACATATATAATCACTCTATTTTTCGGCCCCCTTGACAATGCACTTGAAAATGTACAATCTCAAAAGGGTCGAAAAATAGATCCAACAATGTTTGCAAAAATGCAAGCACTTAAGACATAACTAAACAATGTATGAAAGGGTCCAAAAATAGAGTTATTAAATATAGATACTTCTTTTACCCTCTCTCTGAGAGCCAGTGGTGCGGGCGGTTGTTGCCCGCAAGTGACCTGAATATGGGGTTCCACGCCTATAGCACACGAAAAAGCTATTCGTTCATGAATATGCCGGTGAAATAGAAAGGATAATAATGATCGCTACTTTGCAGAATATGAAAGGAGGAGTCAATACTCTCTGCACATTCCTTAGTAGCTGTTTCATTACGGAGCTGGTATGAACCGTTGCTAGGATAACTATTCACACATGTTTCAAGTTGGTAGTTCTATCTGTGGCTTGCTGTCCACTTTGTCATCGTGTGCTGGTCGGGCTACATTGCTTATTGAGTGCTCAAGGGCATCAACGCATGCATCATCTGTAGTTCTAAATCCCAAAAGTGAAACATTGTATTGTGGTTCACAAAAGGAGAGAGAGAGAGGGAGAGAGCAGGTCATCGAGAGACTCAGATGAAAGCAAAACAAATTGCCGATCTCACCACGGCAACCTTTTCTGAAGATCTTCTCACCAACACACTGTTATCACCGCGCTGTCATACCACCGTGCTTTTATTTGTCTTGAATGTGTTTCTTAATGAGTATTTAAGCAAAAAAATGTTATTGTTGTTCAAGCATCATCTAACCTTAAGTGACAAAATGTCCTCAAACAACACCCTCTCATGTGTCATAACTAGTAATTACACGCTTATTTGGCCCCCATCACTGTTTGGGGAAAAGGTAGATATTTATATGTATATATATATACACACAGGCTACTGCGCATATACAAAGACCGAACAACTGGTGGAGAGATGGAGAAACAGGACCAAGACGGATTGGAAGCCTGAAAAGAACAAGAGGATAAGGAAAATGAGAACTATATAGTCCATCAGATCAAGGCTTGCTCGAAGACAAACTCTGACAATAGATACATATGAACAGAAGTTGCCTGAACAATTCCTTGCGACAAACAAGCCTTTTGGGGCGGCAAAGCTGTCGGTTTTACATGTGCGAACTCTTTTTGGCAAAAGGTCTGTGCTGAGGCTTAGATGGTGCCTGTCCATGTCCATGGTGCCAGGATGTTTACAAACACTACGTCAATATTTGAACGGGTTGAGATGGTCGCACCCGGATTCTGACTTGCCTGCTCAGGACCCAGGAATCCCTTGGACAGAGTTCGCCCTCTACTATATGTTGTTGTCCGGACGCCACCTACCTATCAAGATTCGCCAAGACAAGAAATGGCTGGCTTATCAGTTTCATGATTCCAAAGTACAACAGCTTCTTCCCATTAATGAGGAACGTTCCTCAGGGCACTTGCAGAGTCGTTCCAATGGATGGTTGAGCATATCCAAACGTTTCCAAATCAACTCTACATGCCGCATTACAAAGAAACTGGATCCAAAAGTCTTCTTTTATGCTGGGATTCACCCCACAGAATAGCTATGATATTCTTCGACGTCCGATTCCACCCAATGCTCCGGAATTGTCTCAATTCTAATGGAACACTGATATCCCCATTAACTGCCACAAGACATTCCCACGGACCCTTGGCCTTTGTATCCAAGCAGAAGCCTTTCATTACTGTAAAAATACGTTCGCTGTGCCATTGTTGAAAAATATGTTCTTGATAACATCACACATCCGCATCCAAACCTGCCGAATGAGATAATTTGTAAACTCGCAAGTGTTGAGGGTTGAGGGCGCTTTCATGAGACCGCCATTCATTCAGTCTCGCCAAGTCTCATCCCTTCATGTGCCAAGTCTTTTCGTCATGTTCCCACCAACGCAAGGCAACCAATACCCGTACGTGAAGACAATGGTTTTTGCAACAGTGTGAAGCTTGTGTGCGCGCTCACAATGAACCTGTTTTCTGAACCAATCGATCTCTCTTTCCATGTGCTTCACATGCTTGGTCTCAATCCTCTTGACAATCCGCGCTGGGGCTAGTACCCATGTTTTGATGCACGGGATGTGTTCACCATCCTGCATTTAACTCAGCTCAAACAGCCACTGTTGTTCTCACTCCATCACTCCATCACCTGTGCGCTATAGCCTTTGACTGTGCTTTTGTCAACTTAATTTCAATTATGAAACACATAGATTTATTGGTTTTTTTTTCTGACAAAAGAATCGATTCAAGAAGAGTCCCTCACAAATCGCATGCAAATGTTTGATCATATGATTGCTGCATCCTGCCTTGTCTGTTGTGGCCTCTCGCAACCTCCTCAAGTGTGAATTTCCAAACCAACCCTCACAAAACGGATAGAATACACATGAGGATATGTTTGACACAAAGATGGAAAGTTTTCAGAGTTCATATTTTTGTTGCCAACCTGTAGAAACGTGTTTCAATGCAAAACCACACAATCACAAGTGAAAATGTCAAGGGATTGACTCTTCTACTACAAAGGTCCTGCAGCACATTCACTGCTGAGCCCCGTTGCTCTGCCAGAATTATTTCTACATGCGAAGTGTTGTCAACATTAGCAGCAAATCCTCAACAACCAACTTAGGTCTGATCTGCACAGCACGGAAACATTTAAACTATTGTTGCATTTTGCTGCAGTGTGAACATCTGCTGCCAACGATGATTTGACTGCCACCAACATTGAAGTTGAAATGCTGCAAAGTCAAACGTTTCGACCATTGCCACACCAAAGCAAAATACAAAAAAAACAAGCCCGGTCAACAAAAGTGGTCATGTTGTCAGGTCATGATGTGTTGTCCAATGCTCCAGGCTATCCAAGCCCGCAGCGAAAAAGAAATGAGATTGAGTAAAGAATGCAAACATGCATATGCCAGCACAGACCCCAAACAGCTTGAAGCAAGAACTGTTGTTGTTGTGGGCGGCCCAGCCCCTTGCCTCGGAAAGCAAAGTACACGGCAGGACAACAAAAAGGCAAAAGTGAAGGGGTGAAAAGGGACTGTACAAGAAAAGGGTGAAACAGAACTGCATTAAGTTCGACTGAAGTAGGGGCTCCGCTCTCAGATCAAGAAGTCCACCTCATGGCACTTTGCCTTCGAGGATAGATTTGAGCTTGTAACAGGTTGCAAGTTTCACCATGTCTTCCTGTCTCCTGGAGCGATGCGGCAAAGCGTGTCCGCAAGTGATTGTACGCTGGTACGCTGGTACGCTGGCGGTGGCTGCCTGCGCTGGTTGCGCTGGTTACGCTGGTTAAACGCTGGTTGCGCTGATTACGCTCGTCACGCTGTTTGCGCTCGTTGCGCTCTTCAAGCTGGTCACGCTGGTTGCGCAGTTTAAGCTGATTATATACGCTGATTGCGCTGGTTGCGCTGTTGCGCTGTCAACGCTGGATACGCTGGTTGCGTTGATTGGGCTGTTCGCTGGTTACGCTGACCATGTATTTTTTTTGCACGGGTGGAGCCGCCATTCATGCAGGAAATGCATAGGTCAGCTTGTGCTGTTTTTGAAAGAGTCTCCTGTATGAAGTGCCAAGCAACAAACACAGCACCAACACAAACAACACCAACCAAAAACCGACCAGGGAAGAAGGAAGGAGACTCTTGTATGTACTGGTTACGCTGACCATGTGGACGGTGCAAACGGTGTAGACAGTGTGAAGGGTGTGAACGATGTAGACGGTGTGAATTCTGCAAACGGTGTAGAAACACAGGCACGAGCGCGCAAACGTGGTGGAGGGGACACACAGGCAAATCGATGGGTACAGTGATGGAGAACAAACAAACACATTACAGTCGCAACAAGTTTGCACAAAACCTTTGGGATGTGATTCCGATGGTTTTCAACTGTTCCCCAAACCTGTTAAATTGCTTCCGAACTGTTCAAAACACGACGAAGTTGTTGCCATTCAGTTTGTACACAAACATGTAAAGGCTACAAAAGGAGTTCAAAGTGGCATGAAGGCCTCCAGACCACCACATTCCACACCACCTTTTCGAAGTCCACGCCAACTCTGCCCTGTCCACGAAGGTCCCACGCTTGCCAACAGCCTTCTGCAGGACCCCACATGGGACACTCTTCGCCACAATACACGCTTCAATCTGGTGGTCCGATGCTGCATGGAGAGCTTAGCCATCCGTGTTCCAGTCAACGCCAGTCTCGGTGTGGAACCTTCTCGTTCCAGCTGGTGTCTCGCACTCCAACCAAGCACCCACACGGACGTTGATCCGGCCACCACTGAACCAGCTGCTATTGACCCACCTGCCGCATCTTTTTTTTGCACGGGTGGAGCCGCCGTTCATGCAGGAAATGCATAGGTCAGCTTGTGCTGCTTATGAAAGAATCTTTTGCATGGGTTTAGAGCCTGATCGTTGAGGGACAAGAACTACTGAGCGCCGTGCTGAATTCGTCGCCCCTGTTTCACCTTCTTCACTCTGCCGACATGGCTCAATGAGTTGCGCAGCAGGTTGCTCCCTCTCTGGTGTTCCTGGCTGTGTGTGTGTGTTGTTTTGGGGTTTTTTTGTCTTTGGTTGGATTGCAACCTGGATAGCAACTCTTTCTTAACTCGACCAAGGTGACTTGTGCAGAACCTGCACACATAGCGCTTCGACTCGTGCAAAAAAAAATCTAGGGTTTAGAGCCTTTGGCAATTGTACTGAGCTTTCTTACCTGGGGTATGCTAGGAATAAGTCAGAGGCATGGCGATACCCCTATGCCGCCAACAATGCCTTTGATGCGTGCGCTGGCTTCACTACATCCCACCTAAGGACAGCGATTGGATTGCCCCCTGCAATTGACCTTTTGCTATTCATCACTGCTCACATGTTCACTGGGGGGTGCCAAAACAACAACTACTGAAGCAGCGCATGGCCAGAGCGAGCAAGGACGGCCACCCAAGCAGCCTCTGCACAGCCAGGCTCAAATCCCCAGTAAGTGCAGAAACCGTGCACAGCGCCGCAATGCACAGTGACATGGTGTCGCAAACGAGCTCACGGTCATGAACGCCAGTTGGTGTTGCAACTATTGTTGACAACCTCTGGAGAAGAACACCAGGTGATCATCGATCTCCAAGAGTTTGATCGACTCGACGAGTTCGAAACTGCTGTTCTGGAGCAGCTCCCGACCATAGGAGGAAGCAGCACCTTTGGGTGCGAGCTTACTTTCGTCCTAAGAGACACAGGTCAACTCCTGATGAACCCTATCTGGGACACCCTCAGGGACTGCAACCACTTTCACCTTGTCGTCCGCCAATGCTGCTGTCGGGCAGAACATAAAGGGCAGCTGAAGAGGAATGCCAAAGCAATCCAAGCACCGCCCACTCGTTCAGGGCAGGTGCTTCCCCATGCCTTCACACGCATGAACGAGATGAGGCATGTACAAGTTGAAGCAGGGATACACACCACTGTAACAAGTTGCTAATAGTACACCTGCCCAGCACATTGGTATGCCTGAAAGACGGCGCCTTCCGTCGATGTCACGCACTCCACACAGTCACTGCCCCAGAGTGCAGACATTTTGGAAGCTGGGTGTTTGAGGAGTGCCACGCGCTAGCCCATGTGGGGGGACCAAAACAAAGCAGGCAATCAGCTTGCGCCGCAAGCGCGTTTCCACACCCGAGCCTTTGAAAAATGCCGCACGCTGCAGACACTCAGTTTTGAAAGGACTGAACATGATCCGCGAGACCTGTCGGATCATACAGAGGGTTGCTTCTCGAAGGCAGGACTAGAGGGCGCCAACTCTGCCAGCAGACTTCAATTGGATGGGACCGGCTGCATGCGAACACTGTGACAGGCTGCAGACAGTGGACATTTCACAGACTGACATCAGCGAAATCTTAGGGGGCACTTTCGCCAGTTCCCAGCTGCAACACCTTGAACAGTCGGTGCAGGCAGAGCACAATGCTTTCTTTATGTGTGACAAATTTGAAAGACCACTGTGGGTGGAGCTGCTCCCCGCTGAAGGACCTGATTCGGATGCCTTTGATGAAGAGCTATATAAAGAATTTTCCTAACATCGGGCCAGTCCATGCGGGGGTCATGGTGGGTGCCTTAGCATCTGTCTCTAGAAACATCCCCGGCCCTAGAAACAGTCAATGAGCAGAGTGAGAAGCTTTTGGCTCAAACAGCAAATGAAAGTAGTCTGCCACACATGGAGCCCGACGACTCATCCAGACTTAGCACTCCCCCTGAAATGGAGCCGGTCATGGACTGCTCCGTGGTACTGACAATGCTCTCGGGGGTTACCATCAAGGTCTCTCTCAGTGTGGCAAAATTTGATCGATTTGAGGACCTAGAGGTCCAGGTTATGGACTATCTGGTCTCAGCAACTGACCTTAAAGCGTTTGGGCGCTCCATTGACTTTCTGCAAACTGCCACGCAGACATACCTAGAGGACCCAATCTGGGACAAGCTACAGCCAAGCACGGAATACACTATTGTCTTCAGGGATAGCAGTGTAATCCTGCCATCGCAGGAACAACTTGAAGGATGCCCTATCTATCATGTTCCGCTTGCTGTTCATGTCCCCATGAACCCAGAGGAAATCGTCCCGGAAGGGGCTTTTGCAGGTGTTCCGCGTCTGCGGCATGTCAGCGTTGAGTCAGGTATCAGGCTCATTGGAGCAGAGGCGTGGCAAAATTGTCGGCAGCTCCGCATTGTCAAATTGCCGGCCACTGTGGTAGGCATTTCCGATAACGCCTTTCGCTACTGCAAACTACTAAACAGTGTCTCGGCTCCTGGTTGCCGGGAATTTGGATACAAAGCCTTTGCGGAATGCTGCTCCTTACAATGGGTGTGTGCATCGGACGGGGTTGCAAATAGGTTCAGCAGCGAAGCCAAGCTCGGGCATTATCTCTTTCAAGGATGCATCAACCTTGCTGAGTTTACCTTGGGTAAGCTTCCATCCCCCCGTGGGCCAACACTGCAGGCCGGGACCAGTGAGCTGGCGCCAGGCTGTCTTAGCTCTACGGGAATCACCACACTTGCTCTCACGAAGGATTTTACAATTATTGGAGCGCATGCGTGTGACAGTTGCCGACTGCTTAAGAGGGTTGACCTCTTCAACACCAATGTTGAAGAAATTCCGGAATTCACCTTTGTGCACTGCACTAGCCTCAGAGAAGTTCTCCTTCCGCCTACTCTCCATACAATTCGGGTTAAAGCCTTCATGAACTGTGCAGCCCTGGTTGAGCTTGCCATCCCGCCCTCACTAAAATATATTGGAAGTAGGGCTTTCTTGGATTGCACTGCCCTTAAGAGGCTCGCCAAGATGCCAGGTAGGCACAAATGGCGAGGAGTCTATGCCGAAGAGAATGCTTTTGCCATTTGTCCAGATATGAGATGGCCACCCTGGCTGCATATGATCCCGGACATGGGATACACCCCTGGTCTTGGATGAAGACACGTCTCTCTGACCACAGCTATCGCGGTCTCACCGTCACCCATCAAGAGTCTGGGCGCGCGCCTTAGCTCGAGTCCAGAGTAGGCCAGAAGTCACATCAAAGTACTTTTCACCTTATATAACTTGCTATAGTTGCCTTCCGGGAAACAGGGGGGTGATTAAAAATCGTCGCTGTCGA